CCTGTTTTCTGTCAGCGCCATGTGGAGGCAGAGCCCTTGCCTTCCGCACCTGCCCCCTGCTCTCGACCGAGGGGTTAGTGTACTCAGCTGGAGGGCGCTGCTGTGGGAGTGAATTTAATCTCGCCAGTGCATTCCCGAGGCCCTCTTCTGTTTCCTTTAATCTGCGTCTCCAAGGGGGTTGCCGTGATCGGCTTGCTGCAAAGAGGGAGTCACCGAGTTCCAGGCCCTGATGCGGGTTCCAGGCCCTGATGCGGGAGGCCTCCCTGATACCGTCCGGCTGGTCGTTTGGCTTTCAAGGCCAAACCCACTTTACAGGAGCAGCAGCCGGAGCCGTCTGTGGCCCTGCTACTTGCCCCGGGTGACGACACGTCCAGACCTGTAGGGGGTTTTTATCAGAATCATTTGGGCCCGACCGAGGACGGTTGCCGGGAAGTGAGATCAGGGAGGACGAGTGAATGAGCGAGCGGACAGAAATGTCAGCGGTGCTGGTGGGACGCGGAGAGGCGGCGTGCCTCCGTGTTCGTCCTGTTTGTGATGCAGTCAGACGTTCCTTTGTGCCGCCGGCACGCCTAGATTCATCCGTTCCCTGCCCCCTGGGACCTGTGTACCTTTATTGAGCAATGTCCCCCCCAGTAAACTGAATCGAAAAACGCGTTGACGGGTGCTGCCTTGCTCAGAGTCGGTGGTCATCATGCTGTTGAATGAATGAGTGTCGCCTGGAGTGTAGCTTATCTTTTGGCTGAGGAGTTGGAAATTTTCAGATGCACCTTCTGATTCCTTCTGGTACCTTCCAGTGCTTTACACAATGCTTCCTCCGGGAGTGGACCTTCTTAAATTAGAGTGGGTTCAGAGACACCAACACAAACTCAAGTAGGTGAGGGAGCCTTGCCCTTCGATTCATTCCCGTGGAGGGGTAGCGGGGCGGGGGACTCCAAAATAGTGAAATGATGACGGAGCCATGGTTTTCTTGTTCAGATGAGAGCGAATGGCCTCTCTCCCCTCCACCGAAGAGAAAGCAGGGGCTCCTTGCATGGCCGTGGCCCCGGAGGCCTCTCCCGGGAAGTGCCCTGATGGAGAAGACACTGTCTGGTGTCGCTAACGTCACTCTGTCCCTCCGGGCCTTTCCTTGGCCGTTTCTCCTCCCCGTCCCACTGTCCCCAGGTTGACCACCTTCCATTCTTCCTCTTCCTCCCCCACTGGGCCCAATCCTTTCACTCTCCTGCCTTGGGTCCGAGGCACATTTTATTTATACTTGCGGGCTCACATGACTGATTTCAGTTGCGAGCAGTTGATTTCTGTATTTTAATATTTTTTTCTAGCTTATAGACATTACCGCTCCCCGCCCCCACCTCTGATGAGGAAGATCCTTACAAACATGTACGTTGGTTGGAAGGTGTCTTTTATGTGATATTCAGGGCATTTTATTGTACTAGTTAGTGATGGCCCAGTGCGGTGTGAGCAGCTAGGACCACTTTTTCCCCAGTGGTCTTGGCACGTCCGGAAACGTGTTTCGCGAGTTAGAAAACAACATAAATATGCAGCTTTCCCTCTTTTCTTCCCTCAAGGCGTGCACCTGAGCTCCAAGGGCAGCCCTCCCTCTGCTTCTGTACCTTGTCTCCTGAGCCCACCCGGCCCAGCTGGAGCACTCCTTCTACCTACGTTTTCCCCTGTATTCGGGAAAAACAAATACATGCAAAACTATATTTTTATAAACACACATATTCTTAGAAGTGTACGTGCTGTAGGAGAGGATATATCAAGTGACCTTAAGGTAGACCTCGTTGCTGTAGACACGTGGCGATTCTGACTTCTGAAAAAGCCCTGTTCCAAGTCGCTCTGGGCCGCGCAAAGGTCTTGGCCGACGTTCCCAGTGCTCCTCGGGGCCCGCCCCTCCGTCTGGGAGACGTGAAGGCCGGCCCGCTGAGCTTCGGGGCATCTCAGGAGGGGACTCTCCGGGTTGGGGTTGCTCGTGAGCCCCCTGCCCCAAACCTGGTGCCGCGGCCGAGGGACGGGTGCTCCTTCTCCGCCGTGGGGGGACTGTCCCGTGCCCTGGGAGCAGCCCATTGCTTGGAGGGACGCTGAAGGAGACTCGGGGCTAGACCCTCTCCTACTTTTCTGTTTGTTGTCCCCCCCCCCCACGACTGGCTTATCGGAAATATGGCCCCTCAAACGAAAGGGGGTTCGAATTGGCGGGGCCTGATGTCGCTGTTGGGAAACCCGTGAACCCCTGAGGGGAACGACATTGTCCTCAAACATTTTATCTCTGCTCTGCCCCTTGTGCTGCTGGGCAGCTTCTCCGGTGCTTTTTTTTTCAATTTATTTTTGTTCCCACGTCATCTTTTCGCCTTGATCTCTCTTGTCTGTCAGGAGAGACGTTTTCGGTCTGACGGACATGGTCTGTGATCCTGGTGTCCGGTTTGGCAGCCATTAGCCACAGGTAGCTCTCGAAGACTGGAAATGGGCTTAGCATGATGGGAAAAGTGAATTTCAAGTTCACTTCACTTTGATTAATTTACATTCAAGTAGCCGCATGTGGCTACCGGCTCCCTATTGGAGACCGCCGACCCATGGAAGGACGAGGCCTGTATTTGGTTTACTTTTTCCTGTGCTGTCGGAGAACCCCCGTTTATGTCCTGGTGTTTGGCGAGGTGGCCTTGTTTGTTAACCACGTTGCTTCTGAAAGGACACGAGGCTGCGCTGATGGTATTGTCAGAAACTGCACAGCTTTGAGCTTGACATTGAACTCGGCTTGTCATGGTTATAGGAAACGGGACTTAGACAACCTCAGTTCTATCTGCTTTTCTGAGATTGGTTCAAAGCGAGTTTAAAAAGCTGAAATAACCAGAACTAAAAGTGCCAGATTCACCTTAAAATTCCGCATGCCAATATTCATATTAAGCAGAAAAAACAAGCCGTGTCAGTCCGAGCACATTGCTTCCGACGACCCGAAGACCGGGAGACCTCTGCGATCGGCCCAGGGCAGCCTTCATCGGTGCTGGCAGGTGCTACTGGTGCACGTGTTTTCATCTTGCTCCTTTTGAGCGGATCCTCGTGGACAGGTCTCGGACCCATTAGCAGTTAGGTATCGTTGGCACAGGTCATCTGGGATTCGTGAGTGTTTGGTCATAGTTAAAGCACAACACCACACTGGGAGCTTTAGAAAGAAATAAAAATTTTTTGTTCCAAATCATTGAAAGTTTCCTTTCCTTTCCTTTCCTTTCCTTTCCTTTCCTTTCCTTTCCTTTCCTTTCCTCTTTTTCTTTTTTCTCCCTTCTTCTTTCTTTCTTTCTCTCTCTCTCTGTCTTTTTGCATCTCTGTGTTCTTGCTGTCACGAAGCCTGCAGACAGGGACAGCTAACTTGGGTGCTACCCGGCACGTAAGGTCTAAAATATCACCGGCCCGACCAACATGAGCTGCCGTCCCCATGTAGGTCCGGTTAGGCAGGTGGGTATTGGCGGATCTGATGCAGTGCAACGACTTACCCGTGGTAGTGTAACATGGGTAGCAGAAAGAAACAAAATCAGATGATGCCCTCAAAATAAGGGTTTTTGAGGAGGGTTTTTTTGTTTAGCCTGGATATGTAGTAAATATATAGTGTAGGCCAAACTGAAATGGAGCATCAAAATATTCTTCAGGAAAAGTAATTTGTTGAAGTTTCCTAAGCAGATAAGGCGTGAAAACACAGCCCCTGAGTGAGGGGTTGCTCTGCTGTCGGGCAGGCGAGATCTCACTTTAAAAGACAGCTCACGGTGTGGGGTCGCGTGCACAGTGGGTCGGCCGGGTGGCTGGGAAGGGGAATTCTGGGAACTCGGAGAGGAGGTCCGTGCCTTCCAAGGTTGGGCTACAGGATGATTGGGCAGCGGGGAGAGCAAATTCAAAAAATAAGGGTGTGAGGGGAGGAGGATCCGGACTTTTGTCGTTAAAGCAGGAATGGCAGAGGGAGGGGTAACGCCGAGCAGTAGCTGCTCTAATGGCAGAGGGAGGGTCGCTTGGAGCTTACCTGGTGCATGAAGGCGAGGTTGGCCCTGACTTGTTTGTCCCCTCCTGTGACCGAGGGTTTCGTGCCTGAGGGACCGGGAGAAGCGCAGTGTCTTCTTCAGTCTGGAGGGCTGATGGAACGGAAGGTGGGTGGGTGGGTCCTCGACGTTCTGAGTTCCCGGTGGTGGGAGGCCTGGACACTCACGTCGAGCAGGGTGGTCGAAGGTGGAAAAGACAGAGGCAGGGTCTCGGGTCCGGAGCTGTCTGTTTTCCTCAGGGCTGAGGGCTAAAGTCGTGGCTGCCGTCGATGTGTCCTGGAGGTGCCAGGGTGCTGAAAGAGGGAGACCCGCCCATGTGTGGTGCGTGGCAGAGGGTTCAAGGAGCATGACACAGAGGCCACTGGGTTTAGGACACCTGAGAACTGAGAATAAAGTTCGAGGGGAATAGCTGGACTTGGAACCCAGAGTCCACGAGCTTTATGATTGAGTAGGCGATAAAGAAATGAAACCGGGGCGGGCAGGGCGGAGGAGGGCGCAGGGAGGGGAGTTGGTGACGGACGGGGGACTTGACCTGGGTGGGGACGCGCAGCACAGTGTACGGATGATGTGTTGGGGAATTGTGCACCCGAAACCTGCGTGGTTTTGTTAACCTGTGTCACCCCCATCAATTCAGTAAAAAGGAAAAAGAAAAGCAGGAAGTGCAGGCCACATACATGTTGTGTTCATGTATATGAACTTAACTTTGCAGCCCTTTTACTTAACTCAGGTCCCGGCGGGGAGGTAAAAGGAGGTGCAGCTCAAAGCCGTCCAGTTAGTTCCCAGCTGAGAGACTAGTACTAGTAACGGGAGGGCATTGGTAATGGGTGAACCATTAGCTATTTGGATTCCTATGAGGCAGTTTTAAACTGGCCCTGATTCCTGAAGATAATTAAAATTTGATTGCAACTTTAATGAAAAGAAAATGAGCACCGATGTTACTGAGAATTACATTTTTACTAACTACTATTTTTTTTTTAATCTCAGTTTCTATGCAGATTTCGGACCTCTGAACTTGGCAATGCTGTACAGATACTGCTGTAAACTCAACAAGAAACTGAAAGTGAGTACCGGGTGCTGTCCGTGTCTGGCGTTCACAACCCGACCGTGAGGCCGGCCAGCGGGAGTGCTGTGCGCGCCCCGTTGGGTTGGGCAATGCTCATCCTGGGAAATTCCTGTGAGTCGTTCCTGCAGACCTTGAAATTGATCCTCCTGGGCCCCCCACAAAGGACACGTTAGCCTCTTTCATTTTTCAGGGTGAGCTGACACATGAGCTGAATGAAGTCATTGCAGTAGGGATCTAAGAAAGAAAGGAGAAAACCTTCCAGGTGGTCGTTAATGAGCCTATCCAATTCCCTCCCGGGCTGGCTTTCCCGAACCTACGACCTGCCTCTGGGCAGGGTTACTGGGTGAGCGGGGGCTCACAGCCACGTGGTGGGGGCCCCAGCTCAGACGGTTTTCTGCCTGTTCGAGAGTTAGGTATTTGCATGTTTCTTGAATGCCGTCTCTGTAGAGTTAACAGCCGAGTGAGAGGGAGGAACTGGCAGGGACAGGGAGCGTGGATATGGTTACTGGTTATGGCAGCATTTGGATCATACGTTCAATGTTCGTCTAGATTTTTTATTTTACATGTGTTTTTTGTGTGTTTGTTTTTCCGCCCTTCATTCCTAAGCATACATGAGGAAAAGTGACGTCTGTGTTCCTAATGTTGGTAAACTTCTTTCATTGCATAGAAAGAAATATTTATTTTTTCTTCCAATTTGCTAAACGAGGACCTGAAGTAGAGTGTTTCCGTTTGGAAGGTGAAATGCTGCACTGCATCCTCTTAGGGACAATGGCTCAGTCACGCTGCTGGTCTGGTTTCTCCTTTCCGCGGAGACGTTCCTGGTGGGGCCAGGCCTGGTCCCTGGAGCTGCTGGGCGCCTTTCGCTTTGATTTTTACTGAACTTACATATAAAAGACAGTGGGGAATTTGTGAATTCGCACATTTTGCCATTGAGCTCAAAATGCCAAATGACCATCAAATGCCACCAAAGAGATTTTCAAAGTCAGTAATTATATAACATAAGATCTGTTGCAATGATCTTTTTAGGGAGTTAATTCGCAAAGTCTTGTCCGGCTTGAAAAATGTGTGTAAATTCCTTTCCCTATACCGATCTTCATTCTTCAGAAAAGAAGCGACCGCCTACAGTTTAGAAAGTTGAGATTTTTGTAATCACCAAGGAAGCACATGATGCCCTAACCCCAGTTTCCTATAAAAATATAAAATGGACTTTTAGTGGATGAGTTAACAAGGGAAGGATGGTTCATAAATAACTGTCCATTGTGATACTCAGTTTGTTTCTTCTTCTTCGGACCCAGGGATTCCGTTGCTTCCTTGGTTAGTCTGTTCAGATGCTTGTAGGTGTATGAACTGGGCATTAGAGTGAATGGTTTGGGACCCTACAGCTCTGTGGAGTGACCAAACAGAAGGGAATCATTATTAGGAGAAAAACATCCCTGTCTGACTCGGTGGGCTACTTACAGCAACTGCACAGGTAGACGGACTGGGTAAGACTTTTCCTGCCGTATTCTGTCCTGAGCAGTGTGGGTAAGCGGATACAGGGGCTCGCTTTGATGCGCTTTCACTTACACAGCTTTCTTTCAACGTGATGAAAGTTTAATGAAGCCCGGACAGTCCCCTTGGTTCATTTCGGCGATCAGGTGATCTACTGGACGCCTGGAAGGACACTTCTGGCTTTGGTACAATTAGGGGCCACCCTGCTACTTGCTGAAGGGACACATTTTTCCAAACCCAAATGTTAATGAGTCTGTCCGAGGTCATGTTGAAGCACACCTATCTCTATATTACGAGAAAAGGACTGATTTTACCAGTTAAAGCTGTGATTGCTTCCACCCTGTAGAAGCTGTTTCTTCCTCTAAAAAGGGATTATAGAGCCCTCATGGAGAGAATTATAGTAGAAAATAAATGCAAAAGAGCTTTACAAATGTTAAAGGCCTGTACAGAAGGAAGTGCCGCATGGACCCCCTGGGACTGCCGACGGGAAGTCCAGTAAAGGCAGTTCTTCAGCGAGGTGTGAGAATGCTGCCGCAGCCTCGCGGCTGCCGCGTGCACATGAGAAAGCTGTCCGCTGTGACTTCAGGAATCGGACCGACCGCCTGGTCCAGGCCCTGAGTTCACAGGTGCAGAGGGCGGCCAAGAGGCACGGGACACGCCCAGGGCTGCCGGAAAGAGTCGGGGCTGGAACTCAAGGCTCTTGGCTGCATTTCTCATTCGTGCCCCTTCTGTCTGCCGTTGGTGGTCTCTTGCCTTCCACGCTCACCCATGGCGCTGCCCGGCTGACTCCACCTTGTCCCGTCCTGGCCTCAGGGCTCCTCTGCCTCTGTGCACCAGCGACTGTCACCCCAGCCGCTTTGCTCCCCGGAACCCAGGCTCTGGGCGTTCCTCTTCTGAACGTGTCTTCTTGTGACACCCCCACATTCTGTTTCTCAGCCCCATGACGTCTCCAGACGCCAGTCTCCCTCTCGGCCCACCAGCTTCCTGCCGATGTCCTTGCCTGCAGCCCCTGGTCGCCCACTGTGGTCCCCTTTGGGCACCTCGCTTCCGTACCTTCTGTCTTGCTCGCCTTGACCAAGGCTGGGGCCTTGGCGTCTTTCCCAGTGGGTGAGGTCGTGCCCGAGTTTCACCGATTCACTGACCACGGCGGTCCCTCTGCCCCGCCCTGCTCCGCCCTGCACTTTATCCCAGACGATGGCTTATGGTGCCCCGTCGGACTGGAAGGGCCTGCCCTCGCTGGTGCAATAACTCTTGTTCCTTCAGACCTTGTTCAGGCACCACCAGTTCTAGGAGGCTTGTCCTTGTCCCTCTGGACGCGGGTGGGGGCGCCTCCCTTGTTTGTGCAGGTGCCCGTCACTGGTCAGTCCTGACTACTGCCCGTGTGCGTCCGTCTTCCTCGCCACCCATGAGCTCCTCGACTCGGGGATGGAGACATGCCTTAGAAGTCTGTGTCCCCAGTGCCTGCACAGGGCCACCAGAGCCACGGAGACGTCTGTGGACCTTGACCACCGGGCCTCTCTTATCCTTCCCCCGCAGGCTGCCCGCGGCCTGTCCACACCCTGGCTCTGCAGCGATTTCTTCCTCCTCTGCTGTCTCACCTCCGTCCTCCTCATGCACTGAAGCCGCTCCAGGGTCTTCCTGAGCACCCGAGCTGGTGGCAGCTGCACGGCCCTCGAACCCCTCCCCTCCTCTGAGTAACTGGGCACCATTATAACAGCATCTCTGGGTTCTCCCGAGTGGTTTCCTGGCTCCTCGGGCACATCCGATTGTTGACTTGGGACATTTTTATCTTTCCTGGTGAACCTTTTGTGACTTGCTCTCCCTGACTTGCTCTCCCTTTAGCAGATGCCCTCTGTGGACTGGTAATACTGGCCAGTGAATTCTCTTCCAAACCCAGATTTCTTCCTTTTCACCCGCGCAAAGGGACTTTTCGAGCTGATGGCTCGAGGTGGCGCCCCACGGCCTTTTTTGTGTGCGCCTGTCCGCAGGTGTCTTCTTGCCGACAGCCTCCGTGCTAGCGATGTTGATTAGAATGTGAAAAACTCTCCACTAAACATCTGCTGAGATTAAAAAAAGCCCCCAAATTGGAAAACACTGTCACCAGCCAAAAACCTGTTTCTTATTTTAAACTCTCCATTGAAAAGTGTGAGTACGAGAGTTAAGGAGGAAGGGGTTGTTGTTGGCTATTTGGGGTCCATAGTTGCCGTAATGAGGAGCGTAGAAGAAGGGCCATCTGTGAAGTGAGGACAGTCGGTAAGACTGTAGCTACTTAATGTAAAGTCTCATCAGCGATGGATGGGCTGGACCAGCAGCGATGAACCAGCCATTTCAGGGGAGTCATAAACTTATGAAATGATAAGTCGAATTTCGTGTGTGTTTTACATTTTTCTTCAGAGGGAGTTTTTAACTTTTTAGCGGGTTCTTTTTTTTTAAGATTTTACTTATTTTTTAACAGAGGGAAAGGGTGGGAGAGAAACATCAATGTGTGGTTGCCTCTGATGTGCCCCTCACCGGGGACCTGGCCCACAACCCAGGCATGGGCCCTGACTGGGGATCGAACTGGCAACTCCTTGATTCGCAGCCTGGCACTCAGTCCACCGAGCCACACCAGCCGGGGCTTCAGCAGGTTCTGAAAGGGACTCTTCGGCACAACGTAGAGAACAAACACTATGGGTCAGACTCTCGGGGCTCCTGCAGGAGAAGACTGCACTCACCCACAGACAGAGGAGTGGCACGTTAAAGCACAGAATACCTTCCTCAAACGCAGTGATTTAAGAAAATCTTTGCCCTTGATTCACTCATCTGAAAGTTTTATAAACATACGTGATTCATTCAGCTTTTTCTAAGATAGTCAGTCCAGTTTTAAATGTTGAAGTCACTTCCCCTCAGAGAAAAATAAAGCCCTAGCCTGGGGCGGGGGGTGGAGGTGGTGAATCTGAGTATTGCTGAAAAAGGGGGACATTTTCTAGGGCAGTGATTTAAAAAAAAAAAAACACCTTCTCTGATGAATCAACAGGCCAATTACAGTCCTCCTGGGGGCTATTTTTAAAGGTCTGAAAGCATATTGACAGAAATGTAATTTTCAGCGTACAAAGGAGCCCATGTGGGCCCGCTCAGGGTAGAACGGGAAGGGGTGGGCACGGTGAAACGGCCGATTGTGTGCGAGCACGAAGCGCTGGGCGGGTGGCGGGGGCCCAGGGGACGGCCCTGCGGCTGAATGAATGAGTCCGCGCAGTAATCCTGCCCGGTCACGCGGCCGGCCCCGGCTTTGGGGCGCTGCGCACAGGAACTCTTTTGATGCAATGATCAGACCACCCTCTCGTTAGGACCGCAAAAACATGTCGAGATTCCTTCGGGAGGTTATCTTCTGTTGCAGGGGCAGGGGCTTAGGGGGGAAACGAGGCCAGCCACCTTCTGGAGGCAGTTCCTGTCGCTGAAAGGGGTGTCACGGGTCCGAGGCAGCAATAAGTTGCGTGGGAGGGAGGGAGCGTCCACGGAGTGTGCAG